TTCCCACCCTCCGGTTCCTTTCTCTTTGCTTTGGGTGGAGGGAGAGCGGGCGTCCGTGGGCGGAGGCGGAGGCGGAGAAAGTTGGGCCGGCACTGTCTGCGCCCTCTGCTGGCTCCCCGCTCGTGCTCCTCTTGCTCTCTCTCTATTGCTCCTCGTTCCTGCTTCTCGTGTTCTCTCTCTTTCCCCCCATTCGTGATCCCTTTGCTCTAGGTGGAAGGAAACGCGAGTGGGCGGCTGCACGGGCGGGCGGGCGGGCTGTGAGTCTTGCACGCTCTCGCTTTTGCTCTCTTCTCCCATCTCTGCTCTCTCACGACTCGCCTGACCTTTCATTTTTCTCTCTATCCTTCCCTCTCCCTTTCCATATTCTTTTCCATCCCCCCTCCCACCCCTCCCTCTCCCTCTCTTCATCTCACTGTCCTGCTCACCCTCCGTCCTTCCCCTCCCTCTCTTCTCTCTCCCTCTCTTCTCTCTCCCCCCCCCCCCCCCCCCCCCCGACAAGCAGTGTGACACGACTAGCGCGCCGTAACTGCTGTCAATCATTACGGGCCGTGAACATTCCAGAAACAAGGGAAGGAGACAGCCTGTGTGTTCGCTCGTTTGACTAATTGCAATGGGGGTTAACACTTGGGGGGGGGGAAGGGGAGAGGGAGAGAGAAACATAGACAGAGGGGAGGGAGAGAAAGAGGATGGGTGGGGAAGGAGGACGAAAGAGCAATAGAAAACGACGGAACGAGAGAGATGGAGAAAACGAAAAGATAATATCAGTGAGAGAGATTTTGAGAAGGTAGAGAGACATTGAAAAAGAGAGAAAACGAGCAAGAGAAAGAGAGAAAGTGAGCAAGAGGGCGAGAGAGCGAGAGAGAGAGAGCGCTGTTTCCTCGATACTCGGGAAGTTCTTGACCTTCGCGCCCGCCCGCCGCCCGCCGCCCGACTTTCACGTCCGCGCAGCATGATTTCCGATGGGCAAGTTTGCGGAATGTGTTGTCTCGAGCGGGGGAAAAAGCCTTTGTAATTTCGACTATGATGTGCTCCCGCGTCTTGTTTTAGCGCTGACTCTCTCGGGACTCCCAGACGTGGCGCGGATCCAACAGGGGAGGGGGGGAGGGGGGGGAACGGTGAAGATAACTTATTACTAGAGCTCTTGGTGAGTTGTTGCCGAGACTTGTTTGTTATTAGAGGTTGGGGGGGGGGGGGGTCTAGTGTAATATTAGCTGTCGTTTGGAAGATTTGTCTTGGGTTTGGGTTGTATTTTCACGTAGATCCTTGTGGTGTCTGTTTTGGTCTGTCATCGTGTTCTGTGTTATATATATATATATATATATATATATATATATATATATATAGAGAGAGAGAGAGAGAGAGAGAGAGAGAGAGAGAGAGAGAGAGAATCATATATATATATATATATATATATATATATATATATATATATATATATATATATATATATATATGTGTGTGTGTGTGTGTGTGTGTGTGTGTGTATATATAGTATATATATATATATATATATATATATATATATATATATATATATATATATATATATATGAGACTCGTTTTTGAGGTCACGCATTTTCACGTCGAAAGAAACAAACTCAGAAATCAAACAGTAATCTCGAGGAGATTTTATCTGTTTTCCTCCTTCCTCTTTCATTTTCCCTCCTTTTACTCGCACTTCCTCCTTTCCTTGCGCAGTCCTCCTCCAAGCCTGGCCCTCGAACGCCCCCCGCCCGCGCCCTGTTCCCTGGCCCTCGGGCGCCCGTCCTTCCCTATCCTTGGCTGACCTACTGCCCTCGAACGCCCTGTCTCTCGATCTCTGTCTTTATCTATCTCGCTTTCCCTCCCATCTGTTTTGCTTTCTCTCCCTCCTTTCCTTCCTCCCTCTCCCTCCCTCCCTCCCTCCCTCCCTCCCTCCTTCCTTCTCTGCTGCATAATCTTCCCTCTCCCACCCTCCACGTGTTTTCTCATATTCCGATGGAGTCTTTTTTCGAGCAGAAAACCCTCATTCCTGCAGTCCACTCTCTCCCTTTCTCTCTCTCCTTCTCTCTCAACTCTTTCTTCTCTCCCATGCACGCAACGCACACGCAAAAGTCGTACATACATACGCACGCACACTTGATCACCTGATTTGTTCGACCACACTTCCACGTCTTTTTTCTTGCTCAGCTCGTCAAGGTTCCCCTTCTCCTCCTGCCCCCCCCCCCTTCTCCCCCCTCTCCCCCCTACCCTCCACGTCTCCCCCCTCTCCCCCCTACCCTCCACGTCTCCCCCCTCTGCCTTTGTCGTACCTCCTCCCACACTCCCCCTCTCCCTCTTCTCCCCTTTCCCTCTCCTCCCTCTCCTCTCCCTCTCCCTCCTCTCCTCTCTCATCCCTCTGCGTCTCCTCCCTATCCCCTCTCCCTCCCCCTACCCCCAACACGTCAGAGCACCTGATTATCTTCCTATTGGCATTTTAACCTTATTGTTTTGTGCCTTGTCTTAGCCCCCGTTCACTTCCTTTTATATGCCCGATTTCTCTCTCCTTCCCTGCCTTGCTCTACCCAGACTACCTTTTTCCTGCCTTACTCCCTTCTCCCCCCCCCCCCCTCTCTCTCTCTCTCTCTCTCTCTCTCTCTCTCTCTCTCTCTCTCTCTCTCTCTCTCTCTCTCTCTCTCACTCTCTCGTTCTCGCTTTGTTCCCCTCTTTCTCTTTCCCCTCCCCCTTTCTAACATCCTGCCCTTCCTCCCCTCCCTTCTCTTCCCCCTCCAATCTACATCTCTTCCCTCTCCCTCTACATCTTATTACTACCACCCTCTCCCCCACTCCCCTCTCCTCCTCGCCCTCCTTCCCTTGGCCGGCGTCGAGTTCCGTTATTGTGCGTCCGTTTTGTGGTTCGCGAAGGCCGGCCGAGGTTGTAGCCCTCCCTTCGGCCGCGGGTGTGATGGCGAGAGGGGGAGACCGAGGGCGTGATGACGAAGGGGAGGAGCCAAGGGCGTGATGACGAAAGGGGAAGAGCTAAGGGCATGATGACGAAAGGGAGAGAACGAGGGCGTGATGACGAAAGGGAGAGACCAGTTGAGTGCGATAATGAATGAGAGAGCCTAGATCGTCGTGGGCATGATGACGAAGGGGAGACACCGAGGGCATGACGACGAAGGGGAGACACCGAGGGCATGATGACGAAGGGGAGACACCGAGGGCTTGATGACGAAGGGGAGACACCGAGGACTTGATGACGAAGGGGAGACACCGAGGGCTTGATGACGAAGGGGAGACACCGAGGGCTTGATGACGAAGGGGAGACACCGAGGGCTTGATGACGAAGGGGAGACACCGAGGGCTTGATGACGAAGGGGAGACACCGAGGGCTTGATGACGAAGGGGAGACACCGAGGGCTTGATGACGAAGGGGAGACACCGAGGGCTTGATGACGAAGGGGAGACACCGAGGGCTTGATGACGAAGGGGAGACACCGAGGGCTTGATGACGACGGAATTAAAGTTCTGGGGAGGAAAGTTTAAATAGGTAGGTGATAAAGCGAGTCAGGTGAAGCAATGCGATGAGTGTTAGAAGTGGCGGATTGAGGGCGGAGATCGAGGAAGCGGCTCTGCTGGTGGAATTCTAAGGCCGTTGTCGCCTGGGAAATATCTGGTCGGAATTTCTTTCAACATCAGCGCCATTTTGTTTGTTTGTAAACTGTTTGTTTGACAAATATTAAAATCGACTGCGGCAGGTGAGTTTGCGTGATGAATTGGCATTACTGTTAATGGAAATAATAGCTTTTAATGTTGGAATTTGATGTAAATCAGCTTTTGTAATGCAGCACTGATGTGATGAGTCATAATGTGACGTGACGGATTGACGGTATTTGTAGTGATATAGAATGTTTTTGCTATTGTTTTAGATTCGATCCCTCCCTCCCCCCTTACATCCTTCCCTCCCTTACCCCTCTCTCTCTCTCTCTCTCTCTCCTCCCTCACTCTCCCTCCCTCGCTCTCCCTCCCTCGCTTGTTCTCCCTCTCCTTTCCCACTTCATTCTCTCCCTCCCTCCCCCCCACCCCTCCTATCTCTTTCTCTCTCTCTATCTTTATCTCTTATCTCCCTCCCTCCTTCCTTCTCCCTCGCCCCCCTCCTTCCTTGCCCCTCCCTCTCGCTCTCCTTGCCCCCCCCCCCTCTCTCTCTCTCTCTCTCTCTCTCTCTCTCTCTCTCTCTCTCTCTCTCTCTCTCTCTCTCTCTCTCTCTTCTCTCTCTTTCTCTCTCTTTCTCTTTCTCTCTTTTCCTCCCTCACTCTCCCCTCCCTCCCTTCCTCCCACATTCTCCCTCCTTCTCTCTCTCTCTCTCTCTCTCTCTCTCTCTCTCTCTCTCTCTCTCTCTCTCTCTCTCTCTCTCTCTCTCTCTCTCTCTCTCTCTCTCTCTCTCTCTCTCTCTCTCTCTCTCTCTCCTCTCTCTCCTTCTCTTTCTCTCCTCTCTCTCCATCTCTCTCCATATCTCTCTTTTTCTCTCCATCTCTCTCTTTTTCTCTCCTCTCAATCTCACTCTCTCCCATTTCTCTCTCTCTCTCTCTGACTCTCTCTCTCTCTCTCTCTCTCTCTCTCTCTCTCTCTGACTTCTCTCTCTCTCTCTCTCTCTCTCTCTCTCTCTCTCTCTCTCTCTCTCTCTCTCTCTCTCTCTCTCTCCTCTTCCTCTCCTCTCTCCCTCCCTCTCTCCCCTCACACACACTCTCACCCTCACCCTCGTCTTTATTTCTGCTCTCGCTCTCTTTCCTTTTGACTGTCTCCCTCATTCTCCCTTCCTATAAACTGTACTGATGACCTACTAAAACCTCATTTGCACCCTGCCTTTCCCTTCCTTCCTCCCCTTAATTCCCCCTCCTTTTATTTGGGTCTCTGTTGTCTTTCCCCTCCCTCCCACTCCCTCTGTTTGCCTCCTTAGGCCTCCTTGGAAGGCCCATAACGCCCTCCTACTGCCCCTCCTTCTCTCGTGCTGTATGGAAACTAACGCGGCCTCCCCCCTGCAGGAGCGGAAATGGAACAAGAACGAGCGGCAGCGGTTCCGAGAGGAAGCCGAGATGCTCAAGGGTCTCCAGCATCCCAACATTGTGCGCTTCTATGATTACTGGGAAGTGCCCAGCCCAAAGCGGAGATGCATCGTCCTCGTGACGGAACTCATGACGTCCGGGACACTCAAACAGTCAGTACATACCCTCTTGTTTTCATTTATGCTGTAATTACATTTTGTTTTTATTGTTTATTTTTGGTTGTGCTCCCTCGTCTCTGAGAGATTTTGTACTTAGCATTTTCTCATTGAATTAGTCTATAGTTGCTCTTTCATATATGTTGAGTTTAAACTTGAAAAAAGATGGAAAACCTCTCTTTTTTAACTGGATGGTTGCCAGACTTCAACCAATTTCATCATTTGTTCAGGTTGCTTACCTGAGGCTGTCTGCCTCATGCTTTTAACAAATAAACACAGCATTGAGAAATGACAACGTACTTTGAGTTCTTTTTATACAAGCCAGTATTGCTCATGTTCTGATAACAAGTGGTATATTCAAAGAAGGAAAAACCGAACAGAATTATTAGACTATCATATATGTATGATAATGCAATGGAAATTTTTGGCACAAGCAGGATCACACAGACATAAAAACTGTGGTTATTGGTTTCCATGTGTATGTCATAAAGAAATGGCAAAAACAAAGAAAATAAGGGAGGTTACAGTAACTTTATTTTGATGATAATTTTCAAAGAATCAAAGCATTTTTGTTTTTATTGTTTATTTTTGGTTGTGCTCCCTCGTTTCTGAGAGATTTTGTACTTAGCATTTTCTCATTGAATTAGTCTATAGTTGCTCTTTCATATATGTTGAGTTTAAACTTGAAAAAAGATGGAAAACCTCTCTTTTTTAACTGGATGGTTGCCAGACTTCAACCAATTTCATCATTTGTTCAGGTTGCTTACCTGAGGCTGTCTGCCTCATGCTTTTAACAAATAAACACAGCATTGAGAAATGACAACCTACTTTGAGTTCTTTTTATACAAGCCAGTATTGCTCATGTTCTGATAACAAGTGGTATATTCAAAGAAGGAAAAACCGAACAGAATTATTAGACTATCATATATGTATGATAATGCAATGGAAATTTTTGGCACAAGCAGGATCACACAGACATAAAAACTGTGGTTATTGGTTTCCATGTGTATGTCATAAAGAAATGGCAAAAACAAAGAAAATAAGGGAGGTTACAGTAACTTTATTTTGATGATAATTTTCAAAGAATCAAAGCATTTTTGTTATGGTTGTGTTTTTGTTCCATATGCATTATATCCAAATTGAATACAGTTCATTTAACAAAGATACTCAGTCATGGCTTCAAGATTTGGCATCACTTAAAAATCCTTCAGATTCTGTTATATATAGGTATAATAGGTATATTGATATCTTTTTTTCCAATTAGATGGTTATGTGTTTGATACTGATATTGTACTTTGTACAATATCTAGACAAAGTGCAGTTTATTAAACCTTTAGCATGCATGTGCTTTCATTTCCAGGGGAAAAGAAGAAAAAGAGGTGGGAGGGAATACTAATGAATTCATTAATTTCTGGTAACTGAATGAGTAAAGAATTTCTTATGTTTTTCCAGTTTTCCTTTTTTTCTAATATTTTTTTATTCTTTAATTCTTTTTCGAGGAGAAAATAAGATATTTTGAATCTAGGTCAGAGGCCAAGAGGAAAGTGCTAAGATTAGAGCAGAGGCCTATTAATATGGGCCAGAGTGTCATCAGGCAGAAATAGTGACAGCACAATCATAGGCTGCTTATGGGGTGGCGTTACCTTCAGCTTGGACTATTTTAGTTCCTCTCGTAATCACAATTCAGGCTGCCTATGCCAGTGACAGGATGTCAAATCAGATTGCTGGGGAAAATATAAGGATTTCATCAAACATCTTATTGGGCAGGCAGTGGATGATAAACTGATAGCTGCATGATTTAAAAATAAATATCAGTTCATATGTACTTGGAATAGCACTTGCTTTACAGTATTTTATAAAGAGACAGTCTGTTAGAATTTTCCTTTTTGTTATTATCTCCCTTTTCTTTTCTGTTTTTTTCTTTCAATTCTTTTGTAGTAGTCATGTAATACAGGTATAATTTAAGAAGAGCATAAGGATGAGTGTTTTGTAAAAATGCACTTTTAAGAAGAGCTAAGGAAAGCATTGTAAAAGGTCTCTCTTTTAATCCATCCACACTGGGCAATGTCCATTTGTGTCATACCAAAAATGTTACTGATGCTGGATGATGATTAAGCATATCATGAGCTCAGGTACATACAACTGGGATTACACCTCACGAGCCCAGCCATGAATCAGATGATATGCCAGGCTCTTAGTGACACATGCTAACACAGCCTGACCATGTCAATCTCTATTCAAAATTTTACCCATTGTGAATGGGTACTATGTATTTTTGTGAATGCAGTCTAAATATTTATCTACATATTGTTAAAAGTAAAGAAAGATTGTAAAGGAGTTAATAGTATTTATTTGTTAGAATAAATATATTCACAAAAAAAAATCTGGCAAATGCCTCCTTTTACCCCTCTCATTGACACAAACTTATGATTGTTTGTGTCATAATTGCTGCCCATTACGTGCCACTTTAGAGTACCAGAGGAGTGGAGGGAAGAGCATTGCGAGGGAGACAACCATCAAAGGAGCAAAAAGATAGCTTACAGTTCTTATTTTCTCACACTTTCTATTACAGTAGAAATAAAAGGCATAAGATCTAGATCAATTCATCATTCTTATAACAAAAATATTTCTATTTGAATAGATTTCCATACATCTTTTCATGGAACAGTTGTCATGTGCCATTGTTTTTCTAAACTGAAGATTAAAATGTTTCTCAACTCAACTTTTACATGCCTTGCACTGTTTCAGGTATCTGCGTCGACTACGCAAAGTAAACCTGAAGGTGCTAAAGAGCTGGTGCCGGCAGATTCTAAAAGGTCTCCAATTCCTTCACTCTCGTTCCCCTCCTATCATTCACCGAGATCTCAAGTGTGACAACATCTTCGTCACTGGAACTACCGGATCTGTCAAGATAGGAGATTTGGGGCTTGCTACTTTGAAGAACAGATCCTGTGCCAAATCTGTTATTGGTAAGTGCCAAAGGAATTGAGGAAGGTGTGATTGAACCACATTAATTTTCTTGGTTCTGCTTAATACGTGGAATTTCAGGGGGTGAGTTGTTTGCATGAGATGCTATATAGAGATGTTATCTTTATTTCACTTTCTTTGTGGACTTTTTTTTTTTTTTTTTTTTTACTACATTTAAAAGTACAACCTTATAATGTGATTTTCTATTAATTAGATGTATATTGTACTGTATGTTTTAATACAGATTTCCATTTCACATCTCCCTCCCTATATTCAATTAGATTTTTTTTTTATTAATTGATTAACAAATTAATTGGACCAAACTAGTTGGTAATCAACCTAATTATACCAAGTAGGCATTTGCATTTGGATAAGTGCTTGTTTGTGAATGTGTCTGCATTAATCGATGAGTCTTGTTATTTGTGTGTGTGTTTGCATTTGTAGATGATGTCAATATACATACTCAACTTGTAAACTTTGTATAAGTGACCATATATATGTATAACCTTGTAACTTCTTTTTACTTTTTTTTATACAAATCCCAACAATATTACAAGGAAAAAAATCTTGTCCAAAGGTACTCCGGAGTTCATGGCACCTGAAGTGTATGAGGAGCACTACGATGAGATGGTGGATGTGTATGCTTTTGGCATGTGCATGATGGAGATGGCCACATTGGAGTACCCCTACAATGAATGCTCCGGACCTGCCCAGATCTACAAGAAAGTGACAACTGTGAGTATCTGCTACAAAATTTCCTTGATTTTACAGTTGGATATTCCCTATTTTTACTTGGCTAAGGCAGATTCATGTGCTGAGCTTTGTCTGGTTTGTCTTTGCAGGGTGTACGGCCACAAAGCTTCTTCAAGATTGAGGATGAAGATGTGAAATATATCATAGATTGGTGCACAAGATTACACAATGAGGAGAGGTAAGGTTAATCTGAGTTTTGTCTGGAGAATGTTATCCAAGTTTTTTTTTTTTTTATGATGATGATGATGATGATGATGGGGGGAGGGGGGGGGCAATGAAATTAAAGAGCAGATAGACTGAGAGAGGGGATATTTAAAAGTAGACATTGGTAGATATAGAGGTAGAAGAAAGAAAGAAAAAAGATAGGACAACAAAGAAAGTGAATGGGGAGACAGAGATAGAGGAAAGGTATGACAGGTAGAAATAGATAAAGAGAGAGAAGGAAGCACAGACAGACATTTTGACAGGAAAGCCAGATAGTATGACTGATTAAAGTTGGTTGTGGAGTGGCTGTGGGTGCGAGAATCCAGTGGTTGGGTGGCTGCATTAAGTTACAAGGCTTTGGAGAGAAACAGGGCAGGGAAGGAGACAGGTTGAGGGGTAGAGGGGATTGGGGGGGAGGGGAGGGACCTTTAAAACAAGTTCCAGGTCTCTGCTTTGAGAGGTTTTTCTCTCTCACATATTTTCTCTCTCTCTTATTAGGTATGGGCAGGAGTGGATACTTTATATGGGGTTCTTTACAGTGTTTGAATACTTCGTCTCTCTCTTATTATCATCTTTTAATTTTTTTTTTTATCTCACTCTTTCTACTTTTTATCCCCTGTTTCTTTCTTCCTGTTCTCTTTAACCATTTTTCCTCCCGTTCTGATGTTTATTTCCATGATATTACTTTCAAGAAATCAAGGCATTTTGCTTGAAAGTTATTATAACCATAAAATATATTTTCTCCAAAATTGATAGAGATAGAGTAAATCTTCAAGATTCTATAAAGAAAAAACTTCTTTCATTCATCCTATCAAATGCCATACTGTCTTTAGTTAAGAATGAGTTTGTGGCATTTCCTCTTATGTTATGCATGATGAGTAAGAGGCTATCATATGTCTGAGTTTGGTAGAAAACAGAAATGGATATTGCATTTTGCAAGGTATTGACCTTTTTTATCTCTAAATTAGGGAGAAAAAATTAATATTGTGTGGGTGGGGCAGTTGGGGGGGGGGGGTCATGTCTGTTGTTTATATAAAATTATTACCAAATGTAGCAATGTGTTCTGACTGCATTATGTTATATTGTCATTGGCTGTGTAAGTACCAGAGAGTGACATATTTGATTAATGTTCATTACAATTTTGTTCTAGATCATAGAACTTCAAAAAAAGGTTTCAGATTTGCCATTGGTAGAAATTATGATCATGATATTTAAAAAGCTTTTCAAACTGTCAAAGAATGTTGTTGTAATACAAGTCCAGGGGCTGACACGCTCTGTAGGTGTCAGGGTGGGGAGGGGTTTAGTCTGGTGGCTGAGGCCAGTCCTGTCTTGCTTTGGTACTTGGCCAGATGTTACTCTGATAAATGAAGAACCTTGAGCCAAACAATGACCTGCAGGAAGTAATTTCTTTGTGTCTTCAAACCTTAGTGTTGATGTAGTCTGTGATCAGACCTTGGAAATGTATGGCTTTTGCTCAGTAAGAATAAAAGCAGGGGAGGGAAATAGCAATGCTGCGACGAGCTGTGCACCGTGTATACTCTGAAGACATCTACTTCACAACCGAAAATGAAGAGAAAGAAAGTGGATTTGTGAACAGTTCTGTGTGTGCTGCCCGCCAAGAGATGCATGAATCAGCTGACGCTGATTACCGGAGAGTAGGCCTTATGAGTAGAGTGGATTACAGTGGAGCAAGGAAGAAGGAAAGGATAGTTATGCATGAGATGGTAGACCTGCAAGGAGCAGCTGGAGAAATGGGAGGAGGAGGAGGAGCAGGCAGGGGTGTCTTGGGCAGAGGGAGTAGTGTTGGTAACCTTTTAAGCAGCAGCAGATCAGGTGATAACTTCCTAGCCTCCTCAGTTTACATGCAGCCCATACAAAGAGTGAATAGTGAGGACACCTTTCGGAGAGATATGACATGGAATAGCAGCACAGAGGAAAGGATGAGGCAGCCCAGAGGTAGAGCAGAACAGAGACTTGGGACATCGCATTGGATGCATCATGTGAGGTCCCACTCTGTGCCAACAAGGTTTGGAACTCGCACAGCCAGTACTTCAGCACCATTTCAACAAGGTACATTTGGCTGCAGAAGTGCAGCTGTGCCAATTCCATGCCAGACATTTCACTACATGCCACATGGGTATGTCATGTGGCCACAAGTATCACCCCCAAAATCCAGTGCATACGACTATGGTCATAGAAGAACAGATAATAATTATTCCTTTGGTACAACACCAAGAGTATTTCTAGAGGAAGCTGAAGATTCAAAGCTAAGCAGTGATAGCACAAATGGCAATGATTACTCCCATGGATACAGGCACTCTGCCACTTGTATGAATCAGCCAAGTGGGATGGAGTGTCAGGATAACAGTTTTCAGTACTTCCGTCCAGTGTCACCTTGTACAGTTGTTCATCCAACATCCCCGCCATATATACAGACATACAGGAACAGCAGACCAGGGAGCCCTGGATTGCCATATCATTACCCAGTGCAGCAGATAAAACCCCGACAAGTTTTTTCAACAGTAAATGAAAATCCACAAATGCCCACGTATTCTGTGTCACCGCCTAGTGCAGCCAAGTTCTCTGTGAGTAGACCTGGCAGCCCAGGTGTGTATTTTCAATTTTCCCAGTCTATGCAAGATGAACCAATGCAGTATGGTGGCCAAGAAAATGAAGATCTCTGTCAGGCTGCAATAGACATGCTACATTACTCCGGAAATAAGCATGCTGGACACATGGCAAAGCCCCCATCATCTGCATTGGTAAACCAGAATCTGGAGATGGTTCCATGTTCCAGTCAGCCATCGTATTGGCCACCTGCAAACATTGCTTCTCCCGTGCCGGTTATCCAGCTCACATCTCATAGTTGCCACAGTGATGAGACTCAGAGCAACACTTCTAGCCTTCCCTCCACTCCTTGCATGTGCCCACAGTGTGTGGATCCAGGGTCACCTCCCAGTCCACAGAAGAGCCCAAGAAAGAACTGGTCCCTCAGGAAGTTTCTTTTGGACCGCATGCTGGCTTCAAGTCCATACTCAAGCCTGGGATCCTCAACTAGTATAGGATCTCGTGGATCTGGAGGAGACATGTAGGATTTAATTCTTCATTTTCTTTATGTGTGTTTAGAAGTACATACAGCTAGATAAGTGAATATGCATGATTCAGAAACTTTCAGACAGAAACAAACTAACTGGCATCATAACAGCACTCACGAACAAGCATTGATACATACATATCATTTTATCTGAATTAAGGTTGAATTTTTTTTAATGGAATATCAGACCTGTATAAGACCTGGAGGTTAATGGCTCTTTCCCAATTGCTTTATAATTCTTTATTATTATTATTATTATTATTATTATTATTATTATTATTATTATTATACAAAGATCATCATACATTGCACAGCACTTATTGGCCAGACTATAAATTGATTAATAGCACTGTATGTGTATAATATTGGGATTGGGTAATTAACCAAATGTTGCCAGGGAAAATTAATAAAAAATGGGGAAAATGCTGTGTTCATTTTCTATATTTTTGCAAAATATGTGTGCACATAGATGGCTCTGCTAGTGCTTAGCCACAAAGGAGTCACTTAGTAGACCTTGTGACCTTACCTGATTTGAATTGGCAGGAAAAACATATTTTTTTACTTGTGCTGTGAATATCGATGGTGTTATTTTTATTATAAACATTATAATTACTATAATTTTATAAACATTAGTAACAGCAAAATAAGATAATGTAAAATGTTTTCGTAAATCAAAGAAAAGGGTAAACAGGCAAGACAGGCAGTACTAGTAACTGGCTCATTGGTGACTTAGTACAAGTGTAGCCATGTATGTGTAAAAACAATCACATAAGTAATCTCACAGTGGGCATGGCACGTACGTACACGTCATGCCCGTCGGCATTGGGTTAAGATAACATTAGTATATTTTTAAGGAATTGCAAACAGGCGAGAAGTTGCTCCATTCTCTCAGCAATTATTTTGAGAATAGTTATTGGTGAGAATCACCAAGATGATTATAGATGATTAATCATTATAATTTATCATGGATTATATCATGTTTTCCAAAATTATTTTAGGTGCATATTATATAATGCACCAGTTATAGTTGATTTGGAGATGATATTTATAGTGATAGTAATATTAAAACATTAGATAAGTTGTAATTTCAGCTAAAGAAAACAAAACAAAACATAGAATGTGTGATGCTTTTTATATTTGACCAAAATTTTAAAAATAAGGCTTGAGTTTTCTTTATGGTTAACAGTTGCATGGTCCCCTTTGCTCCACAATGGAAAAGGGACCACCAAGATATGAAGACATACTATTGTATATAGCACCCTGCCTATTCACTCCTCTAGTTTTGTCCTTTATGGCAGAAATCAATCAAAGTTCTGTTTAGGGTTTCTCATGCAGCATTTGGCATTGCTTGTCCAATTGAGACGGAAGACTTGAAAACAATTAAGTGACAAAAGGCCCTTACATTATGAAGTCAGGCATCTTCTTTGTTGATAAAGAAACCTGTCTCCTCAAAATCAGTCCATTTTCCACTTCTCGTTTTATTACTTTGGTATGGAATGAGATTATCTTGGGAAGATGTGTTGGAAAGGAGAGTCACTGAAGGAGGGATTTTCCAGTGAAATCTAACCTTGGGATACTGAGTGAAAATTGTCCTGGATTATTGAGAGTAGACGGGAAAGTGTAGTCCTGAAAACATCATCATCATCATCATAAGGTTAAACTTTTGTCGTTATCTTGTTTTGTTTTGTCGTGTTGTGATTTTGTAACCAGATAATGTTTTCAATATGATTTGTTTTCCAGACCAACTGTGAAAGATCTTTTAAACCATGAATTCTTCCAAGAGGACACAGGCATCAAAGTTGACCTGTGCAATAAAGAAGAAGCTGTTGCCTCCGATTCAGGAAAAGTTGTGCTTAGGTATGTAGCAAAGGATGGTAACAAACAGATAGATGGATGATTAAGAAATTGATTGCATTTTTGATAACCACTCACAATATAAGAAGTTGAAATTGAAAACTGAATATATTTATCATGATTTTTTTCTCTCTCAGGTTACGAGTAGTTGATGCAAAGAAGAGAAAAGACAAACATAAAGAAAATGAAGCTATTCAGTTTGACTTTGACATAAATAATGATAACCCAGACAAGATTGCTGAAGGCATGGTAAGTATGTTACAAAATACATTTAAAGAGAAGAGTCTGGAAATCAAAGTGACACTTATAGATTTCTCAGTCTTTGCTCTGTATTTTATGTATGTCTTATTGGTTCATGATTAAGATATTGGTCACATACTTGACGTGAAATATAAATAACATTTTATTATTTATATGTTTATATTATTTATATTTATATTATAGCATTTGTATTTTTTCTTTTCTTCAAGTTGTATAACTTTTCAGATGAACAACTATAAAAGAATATTGGCATTGTCTTTGTGTTTTTAAGTATCATATTTGACCGAGCTTCTCTCTGCAGGTTAAGATGGGGATGATATTAGAGGAAGACGAGAGGTCTGTGTCCAAGATGATCCAGACACAAATCCAGAACATCACTCGGGAGCGCGAGGAGAGGCGCAAGAAGGAAAATATGGAAAAGGAGAAACTGCAAATGGAAGAACAGCAAATGCAGATGCAACAGCAGCAACCACAAGCACAAACACAGCAACCACAACAGCCACAACAACAGCCACCACAGCAGCAGCCACAGCAACCTCAGCAACAACCACAGCAACAACAGCAGCAACCACAACAACCCACACTACAACACCAGACATCACTCCCACAGCCGACACCCCAAGTGCAACAGACAACACAGCAACAGGCACAACCAATACCTGTGGAGCAGCAGCAGCCACAGCAGAGTCAACAAGCACAACAGCAGGCAACACAGCAGCCACAGCAGCAGACTCAGCCACAGCAGCAACAGCAAACTCAGCAACAGACGACTCAGGATGGCCAGACACAGAAGACTACAGAGTCAATTATCTCTGCAGAACAGCAACAAGGTACCGGAGTGCCCTTCTGTAGGGCCTCATTTCATTGAGTTATTCACCTCTTAAATGAACTCCTGTGTTTGAGGAGTATGATTTGTGATATAAGAAATTTTTATTAACCACTTCGTTTCCTCTTTTTTTTTTTTTTTGCATTTCAGTCTTAGAAAGGCAGTGACAGATCTATGCTTTTATGACATATGAAGAGGATATATTTACTTACTATAATGATTCCTCTTTCAGGGGATGGGGTTCGAGAATCTGGGTATTACACCCTCACAGCTGGAACTGAGGGACAGCAGACCATTACACAGGTATGCTGCTTGCTCGGTTTTGAATTAATGAAGTGAATTAGAAGCCATAACGTGGAGAGTAGGCTACATTATTTATATCATTTTATGGTTTTGTTATCTGGTATTCCACAGTTACTTTGCTCATTCAGTTGAACTAATTACATTAATCCCAAAGGTTGCCATTCTACTTTGATCTTTGATATTAGATTATGCATATGTCAGATATGACAAGTACATATTGAAAGAGAAAATGTATATATTATGTGTGAATAGTAAAATGATGAGAAATAATGATGATAATGATAATAAGTTGCAAGGGCACCCATGCCTTCCATTTGATTGTTGCCAGAAGGGGCAGGCAAAAACAGCATTTAGGACAGCTCCTGTATGTTTTTAGGGAATAGTACCTCATTTGACCTCATTTGTGGCAAAAGGACCTTAATGGTTTGCATCAAAATTTTCATTAATTAACAATTACTTAGAAGCTTAATTCATCTATTGGAATACCATATCAAGTATTGACATTAGGTGCTGATTTAAACTTATTCCATGAGTCAGGTATAGATGTTTTATTCATTCATTTTTATACCAACTACAATAGATTAAAAGTTATATTTGGTTTAGTATTTTGGAGTTTTATAGTGAAAAGTTATTCAAATGTGCAAATGAGGCATCTCATTTTGAACATGAGAGGTGTATTTCAGTATTTAGTGAAAAAAAAACAACTAAAATGCTTCATTTTATTGTTATTCAAAATTATTTATCATTATTTTGCATTTCTTTCTAGGATGGACAGTTTTATGGTGGAAACTACAGATATGGTAGCTACCAGAGCAGTTCCTCCCAGTACCAACCTGTGAGCGCTGCCTACCAGCAGCCCCAGTACCAGCAGGCTCTCAGCACTACTGGTTCATCTGTCTCACAGGCCTACCTGACCACCACTGCTTACCAGCCAGTTCCACAGCAGCCGCCGCAGCAGCAGCCGCAGCAGCAGCAGCCACCTCAGCAACCAGCACAACAGCCACAACAACCTCCACAACAACAAACACAGCAGCATCCACCTCCCCAATCCACTCAACCACAGGTAGATCAGCAGCAACCACAGCCTCCACCACAGCCACAACCACAACAGCAGCCAGAATATTACAGTCAGATTAGTTCACAGGTTGGGACTGGGAGCCAGGCTCCCTTGATGACCTCCCAGCACCCCATGGTTATACCGCAGTCCCAGGTGCTTTCCTCACAAGGTGTTATAATTGGTTCACCACCTGTGGTGATTGCCTCTCAGCCCATGGCAGTGCTCAGCCACCCTTTAGTCATGGCATCTGTACCCATGGTAGTTTCTTCTATTCCCTCTGGTGTGATGTCTCAGCAGCATATTTCTCAGCCAACTGTACCTGTCATGTCTCAACCCACTGGCCTGACATCACAGCAGCCGGTGATGTCCACCCAACATGTACTTCCTCCTCCATCTGCTGGACAAGCACTGCAGGCACAGACGGTGTCACAGCCACAGCCGCAGGGAATGCCCTCCCAAGCTGCTGCTGGCTCTGAGACACAGCCAGTCATAGCTCAGCCAATGGTTGTCCCACAGCCAATGGTTCCTCCTCAACCACTAGTTGCTTCACAGTCAGTGGTTACTTCACAACCACTGGTTGCTTCACAACCACTAGTAGCCTCTCAACCACTTGTTGCTTCACAGTCAATGGTTACTTCACAACCACTAGTTGCATCACAGCCACTAGTTGCTTCACAACCCCTTGTTGCATCTCAACCTTTGGTTGCTTCGCAGCCACTTGCTGCTTCACAGCAGTTGTTAACTTCTCAGCCTGTCGGAATGCCACAAACCCTTGGGGGAACTCCCCTAGTGGTTTCAGTGCCTCAGGTCACAGCAGTAGTTGCACCCACAGAGCACACTCTGAGCTCTACAGCAGCAAGTGGGGCTAGTGGATTAAGCCTGCCCAGCAGCTCAGCGCAGCTGGTGCAGCCAACCAGCCTTGTGCCACCTTTGTCATCGGCTGTGCTTGTCCAGCCAGCAGTGTCAGCATCAGTGTCTGAGGTGACCTCATCAATGCAGCCCAGTGCAATGCCGGCACAGCCAGAGGATGTACCCTATCACTTACCAGTTACAGCCTCTCAGCCTACAGTGATTACCACGCAGGCTGACTCTACACAAAGGATAGCATCTTCTGAACCAAGTGTAACAGTGATTCAGCAGGGGACATCAGCATCACAAGTTGCAGCATCTGGTTCTATGCCAGGAGTCCCCGCCTCCCAGCCAGTTGTTCTACAATGTCAGCCTTCCGTGGTGCCATCACTGCCAGGAGTTGTGCCTTCAGTAACACCTTTTGGAGCATCCCAGCCAGCCTCTGCAGTGGCCAGCGAAGCGAGCCAGGTGCTGTTCCATATGCTGCCTCTACATCCTGTTCCCTCTCAGCAGGCTAATGTTGTGTATTCTGCACGCAGCCGTGTGCCTCATTTAGAGTCCCAAACGACACCTCCATTGGTACAGCCTTTGCCTTGTATGGATTCATGTTTCCAATTCCCCCCTTTGGTCCAGAGCACCCTCTCCTCTCTAGCCATGGAACACCACAAAGCCACCCCAGTCTTCCTCCCTCCCCATCTCTCAGCAGCAATGATGAGTGGAGTAGCACCATACGTTGGTGGAGTTTTTACATCAAAACCCCAGAGCGTTATTGGTCAGCTTCAGCAGCAGCAATATGGCAGAGCAGCGGACAATGTAAGTGTCCAACTCAGACAGATCCTATAGCACAGCACGCCAGCTAGGGCTTTCAGGGAAGGCAGAAAGGTCTAAGCTTAACTTCCAATAAGATGACTCTCTCAATTTAGAACTGATTGCAGTTTGAAGCATAAAAGGTTTTTAAATGACATTTAGCTAAAAATATTCACTGTTAATTTACATAAGCAAATTTATGTGTGGCTGAATGGTAGAATCATTCACAAGACATCTAGTTTTGTAAGATATGCATTTTCCAGGCTTTTAGGAACTGTAATCACAACCTAGATATTAGCTATAAATGCTAGCCTCTCTCTCTCTCTCTCACATTCACTCTCTCTCTCTCTCTCTCACATTCTCTCTCTCTCTCTCTCTCTCTCTCTCTCTCTCTCTCTCTCTCTCTCTCTCTCTCTCTCTCTCTCACATT